ACAGTTTTAATAAATAAATTATAATGGTTGGAAAAATATTAATATTGTAATAAGAATAAATAATAGTTTGATTAGCCAAAGTTAACTACCTTTTTGATGCTTTCATGGGTTGTAACTTTTTTTTTCTCTCTCTCTCTCTTTATCTTTTATTGTAATAACAACAATTTTGTTACCCACCCCGTCACTGCTCCTAGTATCATCTCTAATGAAAGACAAATCTCTGGGCCAACTGACTCCTATTTTAAATCACTCTTACTGCTGCTGCTGCTGTTTAAACAAGATGCATTCTTAGAATTAACTTCTCTTCCATGCATTTTTGAAAGAGAAGAGAGAATATTAAGTGTACAGATGGGTTTTATATGAAAAAGGTGTACCCATTAGGATAGAAGCTATTGTGCATAAGTTTTCTTGTCCTCTTCCGGCTATGTATGAAAACACCTATTTTCCTTATGATCAAAATACATGTTTATTTTTGTCTGCAAGTGGGCACCAAAAGATTAATTTTTGGTTCTAAAAATTACTTAGTTTAATAAATAAAACAAGAAGTAGGATTGTTGGGGGGGGGGCATTAATCTGTGACTTTCTGTAATTGTTAGGAAGAATTTTTTTTTCTCATATATTTTTAAACCTGAAACTTAGGGAAGCAAATTATACATGAGAAATATTTTTTAAAAAATTTGTGAGGATGCACATGTATTACATGACCAAAAGTCCTATCTATGGTCCAAATTAATGTGTAACAAATAGTAGAAATCACTGACCAAATACTGCATTTGTTTTTGTTTCTTTCTTTTTTTTTTCTTTTTTTTTCTTTTTTTTTCTTTTTTTTTTTTTAATTAAATTTCATTCAGATAGATATCAATCAGATTTTATTATGTTTCACTGTTGTCCATGTCAAAGGAAGACATTACATTTTTATCTCCTGTTGTCAGTGTAGTTGATGTCTTCATTATCTTCAATGTTGTCATTGACTTTCTTCCTCAAAAAGGATGTCTGCTTCACTGCCATCCAGTCTATTTGGAATGCAGATTTTTTTATGACTTTGCCATGATGGTTTCACGAAATATTTGTTTTACACTGTTAGAATAAAGGGCCACCAAAATGTGTTTGTTTATAATTTTGTTTCTCTTCAGATGTCTAAACATCCTCTTATCAAGCTTTTTTTTTTTATTATAGTAAAATATTGTATTCTCTTTTATTTCTGCCTGTCACTGGTTACCACACAAAACATTTCTTCTAAATACACCCAAATTTTAATCTCCACGTCTCACCTGTCCTTTACTTACTAAGACTAGTTAATGTTAGTCTACTTCACTGCAGACACACCCACATGTGACACCCTAGATCAATGTCTTCCTGTAACAAGTGTTTTTTGTCGTTACTGTTTTCTTATACTCATATCAAGAAACGGTTCTGTTTTGTCTCTTGCTTTAGCAGTTATAGGTACATCTCAAAAGTTAGAAGATAAAAAAAAACTTCATTTTTTGAGGAAAAAAAATTACAATATTCCAGTATTAAAAATACCAAGCATCTGTAAACCATTTTAAGTAGATTTCAGAAGTTGATAAAGTAGATAAGTCATTGAACCAGAATCAATAAATTTTTCTGAGTTTTGAACTATGTTTTTTGAGATCCTGCAACATTTATTACAGATTAACCTGAATGTAGCTTACATTTTGTGTTGAGTCAGTTATTCTGTTGATCTTTGCAATAATCAATACAAAAATGTCTACCTTGTAACATCTGTTCTAAACACAAAGGTTAGAAACACTTGTCAGTTTATCTTTGTAGTAAACCATCAAACCAGAGATCCATAATATGAACGGTTTCTGTTTTAACAAAACTGAATTGAATTCAAGATAGTTATTTTCATATTTATAAATCAATTATTAATAACAACTTCTCAATTGATGAAATAAAAGTAAAATAGCAATAATTTTTTTTTATTATTATTGAAGTGTTTTCTTCCAGCCACTCTATATTTTATAGATTCTGAAGATTAAACAATGCTGCAAAGAAAATTTTTCATTTATCTAAAAAGATTCCAATGAATTGGAATTTAACATGTGTAGATGCATCACCAAGTCTGTAATTTTACAGAAATATTTTTCAACATAATCTCCTTCCTTGTCAATGCACTTAACTCAGTTTGTTTTCTTAGATTGAACAGTATCCAATAAAAATCTAAGAATGTTGGCCAAATCCTTTTCTGTCATCCAAGAATATAACTGGATTTAATTCTTTGTATTTCCCCCCTCTCTTAGGCATCCTTCTTAGGAATTTCAAATACTATAATTATCACTTTTCTCCACTGAGTGTAATCAGGGGTTTTTGGGGTTTTTTTTTTTTTTGTTTTTTTTTTTTTCACACACACACACACACACACACGAGAATCCTTGGAATTTGTATGTTACTGTGCCAAACAAATTGTTAAATTCAATTAATCAAATTCTTGTCAATAACCAGGAATATGACAATTTAGTGTCTGGCATTTGTCAGCAGGATTTTATAAAGAAAGAATCACTTTTGCATAAAATATTTTGAATAATATTGATGGTGAAATTTTTTTTTTGTTAATTTCTAGACAAGACAGGGAATGATAAAATATCACCTGCAGTAGAAGTAGACATTTGCATTAAAGAATTTGTTTGCAACAAAAAAAATTAGTGTTAATAGAAATGTAATTTAAAAAGTTATTAAATTTTAAATCGGGCTCTATAATTCTGTAGGCAAATTAATTTTCATTAGCTGTAATGGAGTCACAACTTCTGTTTGCTGAGTGTGCCTGGAAAATAAGATCTGCCCGTCTATTTACATTTTTTTTTTTGGATTACACAACATGCTTAGATATTTTCATGCTTATAATTTTCATACAATATATCATAAAAAATGTCTGAAATTTTTGGTCATCATTTTCTAGGTTAAGTTAATCTCTGCATTAATTATTAATATTAATTATTTTCACTGTTATCACTGACTTGTAAAATTTTTACCTCCATTGCATAGCAATTTATGGCATGTAAAATACAAGACTAGTATTGTTGCTCATGTATCGAAATGGTTCGACTGAAATAATGTAAGGTTGAAAATCTTAAATAAAAATTCCTTCCAGAATTCAAGGTCCTGTCATTGATATCAAGAGGGTTTTTTTTCTTCTTCCCTGTGTAGATGTTTTAGTAGGTCAGGTAACTGATTCTAACCAAAAGTACTGTCATCAACTGAAATAGCTTGGTTGAAGAACATGAAGCATATCTCAAAATCTACTGTTCCAAGTTGTGGTCGTGAGAAAATTTTTGAATGAGTGTATATCACTTCAAATTAAGCTCAAAGTTAACTGCTTAAGAGAAAGAAGAAAAAAAAATGCAGTGTGTGTTATTAAATAGGTACTTAGTGACCTTGGTCTAGTCTTGCACAAGTAAAGATTTTGTACTTTCTCTTGGTTTTGAATCAAATACCCAGAGGAATTGGGTGGATACACATTTGTTAGAGAATCAGGGCTAAACTGCTTTTTTTTTTTTTTTTTTTTGGTGGGGGTATCTTCATTGTTAGCACTTCAGTATTTATTTTATTCTCAACAATTTGCTTAACTTTTAGAGTTTTGATTTTTTTTTTTTTTTTTTTTTTTTTTTCCCCATAGTTATCCCCACCTTCTCCACATTTTAAACACCCCCCCCCAAACACACACACTTTTTCTGATAATTTCTCTCTTTTTTTTTTTTTTTTTTTTTTTTTTTTTTTTTTATTTTTTTTTGTTTTTTTTTTTTTTTTTTTTTTTTTTTTTTTTTTTTTTTTTTTTTTTTTTTTTTTTTTTTTTTTTTTTTTTTTTTTTTTTTTTTTTTTTTTTTTTTTTTTTTTTTTTTTTTTTTTTTTTTTCCTTTTTTTTTTTTTTTTTTTTTTTTTTTTTTTTTTTTTTTTTTTTTTTTTTTTTTTTTTTTTTTCCTTTTTTTTTTTCTTTTCTTTTTCTTTTCTTTTTCCTTTTTTTTTTTTTTCTTTTTCATTTTTTTTTTTTTTTTCTTTTTCCATTTTTTTCTTTTTTTTTCTTTTTCATTTTTCTTTTTTTTTTCTTTTTTCATTTTTTTTTCATTTTTCCTTTTTTTTTTTTTTTTTTCTTTTTTTTTCATTTTTTTTTTCTTTTTCTTTTTCATTTTTTCTTTTTCATTTTTTTTTTTCTTTTTTTTTTTTTCTTTTTCATTTTTCTTTTTCATTTTTCTTTTTCATTTTCTTTTTTTTTTTTTTTTTTTTTTTTCATTTTTTTTTTTCATTTTTCTTTTTTTTTCTTTTTCATTTTTTTTTTTTTCTTTTTTCATTTTTCTTTTTCATTTTTTTTTTTTCATTTTTCTTTTTTTTTTTCATTTTTTTTTTTTTTCATTTTTCTTTTTTTTTTTTCATTTTTTTTTCTTTTTTTTTTTTTCTTTTTTCATTTTTTTTTTTTTTTTTTTTTCATTTTTCTTTTTCATTTTTCTTTTTTTTTTTTTTTTTTCATTTTTTCTTTTTCATTTTATTTCTTTTTCATTTTTTTTTTCATTTTTTTTTTTTTTTCATTTTTTTTTTTCTTTTTCATTTTTTTTTTTTTTTTTTCTTTTTTCATTTTTCATTTTTTTTTTCATTTTTTCTTTTTCATTTTTTTTTTTTCATTTTTTTCATTTTTTTCTTTTTCATTTTTCTTTTTCATTTTTTTCTTTTTTTCATTTTTTCTTTTTTCATTTTTTTCTTTTTTCATTTTTCTTTTTCATTTTTTTTTTCATTTTTCTTTTCATTTTTCTTTTTCATTTTTTTCTTTTTTCATTTTTTTTTTTCATTTTTCTTTTTTCATTTTTTTCTTTTTCCTTTTTTTCATTTTTTTCTTTTTTTTTCCCTTTTTTTTTTTTTTTCCTTTTCCTTTTCCTTTTTTTTCCCATTAAAAAAATGGGATGTTATTGCCTTTTCTTTCTTTTACTTTCTCTTTCCAATTGTTTGGAATTTTAAAGCAGAATTCTATTTTTCTTTCTTTTTGTCACTAGCTGTTGATTTCTTCAACCAAATCAATATGCTGTATGGAACAATAACTGAGTTCTGTACAGAGGAGAGCTGTGCAGTGATGTCAGCTGGCCCCAAATATGAATACCATTGGGCTGATGGACAAACAGTAAAAAAGCCAATCAAATGTTCAGCACCCAAATATATAGATTATTTGATGACTTGGGTACAAGATCAATTAGACGATGAAACTTTATTCCCATCTAAAATAGGTAAAGTATATTTCCAAACCTGTTTTTTTTTTTTTATGTGCTAAAATAGAGTGCAGTTGATATATATTAACAAGTTTAACTGCCTTGGACTTTAAAATGATCTTGGATCATGTTGTACAATCTCCAAAATCTGGTAAATTTCAAATGTTTACTTTACCGTTTGTTCAATTTGTATTGAAATAATTTAACCATACCATCATTAAATAAATGCATGTATAGGTGAAAACTCCTTTTCTTTTATAACCTTATTCTCTTTCAAAAAATTACCATTATCTCCTTTGTACCTATCTTTGCTTTCTCTCCCTTTTCACTTTCTTGCTGCTTATGTATACCTGCACCTTCCGCTTCGCCTTTTAGAATAGACACCTTTCTGTTTTTAAACCAACCTGAATGACTTTTGAAAAACTTGACCAATTCTATCTCCATTTGACAATCTCATTGAAACATTTTTTTCTCTCTCTATCTCTTTCCAGGTGTGCCATTCCCTAAGAATTTTTTATCAATAGCAAAAACTATACTGAAACGTTTGTTCCGTGTTTATGCACATATTTACCACCAACATTTTCGGGAAGTTGTACAACTCAGTGAGGAGGCCCACCTAAACACATCATTCAAGCACTTCATATTCTTTGTCCAAGAGTTCAACTTAATTGATCGACGTGAGCTTGCACCTCTCCAAGAACTTATAGATAAACTAACCAGCAAGGAGAGATAAATCAGATGTGTTCCCACTGCCTAAGTATATCTGGACAGGTTAGCTATCTAGGTAGGTGGATGGAGTTTTCAGCTTACCTGCATTCCTGCCTACTTGGGATAACTCAAGCCAAATTTATATTTACCAGGAGTGTCCAAAAAAAAACAAAAAAAAACGCAGTTTGTCTTTCTTCTAATTTTATTTTATTTTTCTAAGAGTGGGTATATTTTGAGAGAACTAGACTTACAAAAAAACTTAGGCCTGCAGATATTTTATTTTGTTGGTCCTCTCAAAATATTACCATTCAATGCCACCACAAAGCAACTATGGAACCAGTGTTTGCAATATATGAAAAAGAAAACTGCATAAACCAGACCAGCATGAATTGTCAGTGGTGACCCCCCCCTTTTTTTTTCTTTTTTTTTTTTTTTTTTTTTTTTTTTTTTGCGCTTGTATTATGTACCACCATCCAAAGGCCTTAAATGGTGGAAATCAATAATCTACAAAGTAAAGGGGGTAGGGGCAATTTTTAATAAGAAATATGAAAAAATGTGCAAAAAGAAATGTCTTTTAGGATAAAAAATGAAGGGGGGAAAAAATCCTCTAAAAGCAGAAAGTAAATTGAATGTCAAAAATCATGAGTCCGTTCTGAATTTTTCTTTTTCTTAGTCTGATTTGGCAACTTTTGTTTGTGCTGTTTTTTTTTTTATTCAGTCAGTGATGACTAATACACACACACACACACATATATATATATATATATATATATATATATATATATATATTGAAAGGTGGATAAATGAGTGAAGAAAGAAATAAAAAGGGAAAGAATAAAACCTAACAGAAACAGCAGTATATATCCTCTCTCCCATTTACACACATTCAGGCATAAATTTAAATTGTGAGTCTTTGTTTTACATCCTAGTGGAATGAAGTAACTAGTAACAAAATAAAATTCCTTTTATAATTTGAAAGAAAACATTCAGCAGTTTAAGCTAAAAACACCAAATTAATTTCATTTTAGATATTGTATATGCATGTGTTGTTTTTTTTCTTCTTTTTTTTTTTATATATGCACACCTGCATACAATCACACTTTCCTTTTGTCTCTTACTCAACTGCTAATTCATTTGTCAAAAATTGTCAATTTCTACCAACTTTTCTTACCTCAAATCACTAATTTTTATTGAACTTGTTTTGCTTTGTTTTTCAGTTCAAATTATTTTCTTATTTCTAATGACAGTAATGATTGAGATCTATTAGCAAATATCAGTGGTAAAATGCAACCAAATTGAACTGCAAAACCTACAAACCTCATGTAATAAAAAAAAGCATACTACCAATGTAACTTTCTCTAATATATCCTGTAGAACAAACCCTCAGAATCTTTGTCACTCATACACTTTATTGCAAAATTTTAATTTTGTCAGTTATCAGAAATGACTTATTTGTATCAATGCCATTCTTTTCGTTTATAATTTTTCTTGATACCATTGACATAACTTCCATTCCACCATCTCCTTCATTCTGTGACTACTTCATTTTTTTTCTTCTCACCTCACTCTAAAGACTGTTTCTTTTCTGGGAAGCTTTGCATTGTATTATTTTTGTGTGTGCTTGTGTGTGTTCAGTACATATGCAAACACTTCTCCCTGCTCTTTCATTCCACTCTAATGACCCTTCCCACAATACCAGCTTCTTTATTTGTAAACTTTAAACCAATTCATTTTGTCTGAGCTTCACCTAACATTATTTTATAGTTACTATTATTGTTTGCCTACCTTCATTCCATGCTTTGGTACGGTATGCCTCTTCACAACTGGTGATAAATTGGCAAAACAATATTTTTTTTTTTTTTCTTCAAAATAATCATTCCCCTCGCCCTCTTTTTTTAAAAAATGTTACTACTACTTCTCTTAAAGATGCTATCAAAAATATTCTTCAAAGAATTGGCATCCAATATTATGTCAGCACAGCTTTATATTTCAGTGCTAAACATTATGAAGACATTTTTATGTTCTGAAAGACAAACCATTAATGAAGGCTTGAAAAAGGATCTGAATTTTGTAAGTAAATACAAAAGTGAAAAAAACAACCAATGTAAAGTCAAAAGAATAAATTTAAAGGATTTTCGTAGGAAATTTAACATTCTGATCAGATGCTAAAAAAAAAAATTGACAAAAGCAAAAATCTGGGAATTCAAACATTTTGAATATTAAAACACTTAAGATAAATAGCATAAATGATTCAGCATTTCTCCAATTCTTTAAGACATTAATTTACCCTGATTCCAATTTTAATCTTATTTATATTCATGAAATTCTGGTCCATGTATGGTCTGAGATGTTTAGTGTACAGAGAAAATAAGCAAACATATCTTCCTCCCTCCCCACCTCTCTCTCTCACTTGCATACACACTTCTCCAGATCATCATTAGAGTGAATGATCTAACCCATAATTCCCATGTTATCATTGCAGTATTGGTGACAACAATGATGATTCTAACTTTTGTTTAGACAATTGAACTGTTTTGTGCTCTTGATGTGACTTGCTTTTCAGCTGATCCATTCTCCAGCCTTCATCAGGTGTCTAATCTTTAACAAAGGATGAGAGCATATTGACAGAATAAAAATAATCTGTCTATTTGTGTAACACAAACAAATGAATCTGCCAAGATGTTGTGATAACATGAGAGATCATTTGTTCAAACAAAATTTGTAATGTTAATAACTCTTCAAAAATTTACAGAGAATAATCAGAATGAGATTTTATAAATATTTGTTTGCCTTCTCACAGTACAAACTCTTGTCACATTGGACTGACAAGTCCAGCACAATAGCAGATCATTCAGCTACAAGGCCTTGTTTCTTGGTTGGTGACATGCCCTACTTTATTGAGTGGGGAACAAAATAGGTTTAAAACCAAATCAATTTATGGCCTTTTTTTTTAAAGATTTAAATACTAAGTGAACCGGTGGGAAAATCTTCAAGGTATTTTTTTTCTGTGATTCAAGAAAAAGATGATTTTTTTTTTTTTTTTTTTTTTTTTTTGAGGCGGGTAATATCTTCACTTTTCAACTTCATTGCAAAGTGTTATTGATACAGTAACTGTTATATAACCAGAAGGTTTATAGCATTTTTGGCAGGATCTATGAAGTTCATTTCCTTTTTACTAACCAAAAATATGCCTCAAGGTGGAGAGAGTACTTTTATTATGAAATTTCATGGATACTTCAGTGATATAATTTCATATTTATTTTATGAGTATAAGCTAAGGTCACTGTAAAGTTTCCTTTTTTTTAAATAAGGAAAGGGACTCTTAAATATTAAGGATCATTTCTTTTTTACTTTGGGCTTTGCTTCTAGTTTTATACTTGTCTGAATGTATGGCAGATTTGGTGCTGGGAAATATTTTGATTTTTGGTCTGAAAAAAAAAAAAAATCCCTTTTCAATAGGGAGAAGGAAAATTTGGTGATCAATTTCTTTATATGCATACAAACCAATGCTTCTATTGGACCAACAGAGAGCTAACACTATTCCAGATGTCCTCTGTTTGGGAAACCTTAATGAAAATAAGTGAATTATTTTTAAAGAAATCAGAATTCATTATTTTTTCCTATTTATGTCTAACTGTCGTAGTCTTGAAGCATATTTGTGTAAAAAGTAAAATATTGTTGCTTAGTGTATTTCTTACTTTAAGACGGAATCCAGCAGCAATAGTTTAATGGTTACAAAGCAATTCATGAGGTTAACGTTTATGGCTGGAAATGTTTACTCCTTCCAGGTAAAGTGAATGATTCCAAAATTTGTCAGCTAAGCAATCTGAACTTGGGTATCAAGTACTAAATTATTGTAGCTTATTTGTGATGATGATTGCTTTGATAAGCACATTTTTATCATGATGTATAATGGAAAAATAAGAGTTTCCCTTGTATGTTTAATTCTTAACCTTAAATGATTATAAATATTAAATCACTGCATAAATAAAATTAATTTTCATGGCAAAGCAATGTCTTTGGTTGAGGTTTGGGATTTTTATTTTTAATTCTTTGTTTCCTGCAGAATCAAATTGCTCTTCCATAATAACTGTACATAGGAAGCTTTTCAGAGGTTTTTTCTATTTTGTAAAATATTTTATATAAAATCAAAATGATTTAATTTTGTATTTGTTTCTAAATACTATTTCATTTTAATAAATAGATTATAAAAAATTTACATGACAATTTTTTTAAATTGGGAAATCTTTAAGCATGCTCAAATCGGTATTTTTTTTTTTTTTTTTTTTTTTTTTTAATATTTGTTTCTTTGATTTTAATTTTTGGTTACTATGGCTTAAGAAGAAAAATGTCATTTCTCAATTGTATAAAAATTGTATAATTCTAAATTAAGAAATTTCATGGAAATTTCTTTCTTTATCAGACATTTTGTTTTCTATTCAGTCTGTGCTTGATTGCTGTTAAGAAAATAATCAGCCCCCCCACGCACACACTTTGTATCTTACCAAAAAAAATGATAGATAAGATATGACTTATTACACTATCTGAGTTAAGTAAATCATTGTGTGACTATATAAAGGAATGTCCATCTACTTGGAAGCCAAACAGCTAGATTTTTTACTGCTGTCATTATTACCATCTCTTGTTGAAAGACAGACATTAAAAAGAAAAAGTCAGTGATTTCTCTCCCCCCAAAAAAAAAAAAACTCCAACTCTTCAGAGGGATCAACTCTGTTTTGTCTTTGCACACAATCAAATGTGATTGGTCTCTAGAGATTTTCAACTCTGGGCTAGCACTTCTCTATAAAAGAGAATCATGGGTTGCTCTGATGCTCATTACACTAAGTTTGGCTTACATTGCCCCCCACCTATCTCCATGCACACAAAATCCCTGCATTAAACTGATCTTGTCTCCTATTTGCTCTTACAAGGAGACTAATACCTACTAGGTTGATTTAACTGCCTCCAAATTTCTCTGACTCCACCCCAAATTACATTTTTTACAAATTTAAAAAATATTTAATT